CGATTGTGCAATTTGTTTTCAAATCCTAGATCTCTATATGTGGTGTCAAATGGCTTATTACTAAAAAAATGATATAATAGTTGCTTGGATGCGTTATGTTTACCTTTGGAGGCAATGACATTACGTGTTGTGATTTGAAGTTTTTGCATTTCCAAGGTCACACTATGAAGTCTTTTACCTTCATAATTATTATTACTGAGAAAAGATATGGAACCTTACTTCTCCTTACCACTTCATCGTTTCAACCATGGATGGATAGCCAGTACAGATACAGATAAACAACATAAGCAGCAAGCACTGAATATTGGTTCGCTCTCTATTTTTCATATCACTTTTTTGCCTTACTCCATCTATTTTAATTAACAACGTAAACATCTTATCCAAGATGCCACCTAATTCTTCGAACAATAATCAGTCATGTTCTTTACTGTTTTACTAAGGGAAGCTCAGAACAAATACACATATGCAATTTCAAAAATAAAGAACGCAAAAGAATTTGTATTGATAGCTTTCAAATGTGACCAATAAATTTGAACAATAGATTTCTGAAAATAAAGGTCATCTATGTTTCATATCATTGAATCAAATGTTTTATTATTTGATATGTGAATGTCATCTGAAAATCTACAACAAATTCCCGCAGCAACGCGCGGGGAATTGTCTAGTTGCTAATATAGGTAATGCCTTTTAGGAAGAAATAAAATTCAGGAAATAAAAATTATTGATAAAAGTTGCATATAATTTACGCATAAATTGTATTTTCTGTAATATGGAAGCATAGTAGTGGAATTTCAGAAAAAAAGAAGTTTCCTATAAGAAATAAATTAGTGGAATTTGCATTACCTAAAAAGAAAATGAAATAAAAAATAAAGAAAGATCAACATAATAAAGTTTTCTAATAAAGAATAAATTAATGGCGTTGGTGTTACCTTTTAAGAAGAAAGAAAATTCAAAAAAAAATTAAAAGCTTGCACACAACTTTGCACTTCTTAATATGAAAAGAATAAGCATATAAGAGTGCAATTTTCACACTCTAGTGTAAATGACACACATATAATAGTGCAATCAAACCGAGAAGTCATTAAAACACAAGGAAAAATAACAACATGTATCTTGACAAAAGAATCAAGGGCGAGAAAATCAATTTACCCAAATTTAAAAATAAGGCGACTTACATATAGCTAAAGTGTCTAATTAGTGACCTCAGTCTAACGACATCAATTTTACGTCAAGTACGCAAATATAAAAATTAGACATTTGTTTACAATCTAAATTCCAGATCGGTGTAACAAGCCCAACTATTTCTAAAGCCCAAGAGTCAATTGAATGGTCCATGGTTCTGGTCTCCCAGATCTGGATGAGCAAATGAGGAGCTCCGGTTTGACACATTTTACATCAAATAGCCTCG